CAGTAGAAAGGCTGCAGAAAGAGTCAGGAGCCTAGAGGAGGGGGCAAAGGAGGTGAGGGGGTGGGGGCAGAAAGTGGAAATGAAAGCAGACAACAAATTGTAACGGAATAAAAACGATTCATTGTGCACGATACATTTTAGGACACATCTGATGTCTTTATATTTCTTTTTTGCGTGAAACGTCATCTATCTTCACATACAATATAGATAGATAGATAGATATAGATAGATAGATAGATAGATAGATAGATAGATAGATAGATAGATAGATAGATAGATAGATAGATAGATAGATTAACTGTGACTGTATTGGCCCCGAGTGAGAAGATTCTCCTTACACACAGCTGCTGGGGTGATAAAATCTGGCTTAGGATTTAGATGTTTAAGAATGAATAACGATTTGTTTCTTACAAAAGATGACCAGGCGGAGAAAAAGACACCTCCTATTAGCATAATGTTCTCACAATACAAAAGGGAAATCAATATTGAAAAAGGAAACAAGTTGTTTTGCTTTCTCTGCTTCAGTGGAAAACAAAAGTCACCACTTTCAAAATGCATTCATAAAATCATTAATCATGCACAATTTATCTTTACAGACCCCAGAAAACACTAAATTGGTAGCGTTGATAAACTGTTCAGCAGCTGTTCTAGGCCCGAAAAGCAACATTTTAGGAGAAAGAAAAGATTGTTTCATTCTTTCAAAGATTGTATCTTAAGGGGTATCGTTACTTTGAAAACCAACTTTTTAACCAGAGAACCTTTGAAGCTAGTACTGGTATAATAATATTACGTTGATACGTATGCGGAGGAATGAAAATCTACACCTTCAAACAATTCATAATATATTCATCGGTTACCAAGGAAACGGCGGCCATCTTGATTTGTTAACAATTTTATTTTATTAAACATTTCAAAACTATGCTACGATTGTTTTAAGGCAAAAGGGAGAGACGACATAAAATTTTACAGCTAGCTAGTTTTCATATTGATAGGACCATTAGCAATCAGTTCTGAGGTCATTTACGTGAGCTTATTCAAAAAAGAGTGGAAAATTTAGCTTAAATAAGCCCGAAAAGCAACATTGTAGGAGAAAGAAAAGATTGTTTCATTCTTTAAAAAGATTGTACCTTAAGTATGCCTCTTTTCTAGCTTTTTTCACCATTTAAAATTTTAATATCGACGAATTATTTACTGTTCACATGCATTTGATATCACAGATTAAGAAACTGTGATTTAAAAAAAGAATTAAAACATTCAAAACTTAAGGCTTAACACATCAGAACAGTGGCCAGCAAAATGTGTAGTGAGGTTTGCAGTACGTATAAGCGGTGCATGAATGTTCTAAAGGAACAACAACAACAACAATAACAACAACAACAACAACAACAACAACAACAACA